CTTTGAGCAAAGATATCTCAAGATGGATTTGAGATATTGAGCTGAAATTTTCAAGGTAAATACTTCTTAGTGTGTTGATGGTAATAAGCGATGGATTTTGTGGTAGGAGTTAAAGTAAAGAAATTGTTGAGCATCAAAAATTCAAATTTTACCTAATTTTGATCTTGTAACTTGATACTATTGCTTTTTTGTGCAAATTTACAACTGAGCAAATCCCATCGCTTATTACCACTAACAGTATGTATTCTGTAAGATAATATGAAAAACACACAGTTTTCTGTAGCCCAGAATGAGATATCTTTGCTCAACTACACATCAGTCATGCACAGCAGGCGGCAGTTTGACCAGCCCGTGTCACGTGATACATGCAAGGGGTGTCACTAAAACAGCAAATTTTATAATCTTTGATTAAATAGCTTTCCAATGATATATAGTTGTCTGTGGTTTGGAATTATATCCTGACTGGTATAAGAGTTCAAAAAAGTTGCATTTTTTCAGGTATACCCCCGCCTTAATTTATATTTACGACCAAAATCAGCGATTTTCCCTACCCTATTTATGACCTGACCAAACATTTGATACCCTATTTATGGCCGTTGTAACTGGCACAGTTGCTCTAAACATAATTTATGAAGGGCTTTTGTTGATCGTCTTATCGATAATAATGAAAAAGTAGCTTGCTCTAGAAAAGCATACTTAATTTCAAGACCAGAGTGCAAAAACCATACCAAATTTCTGACCAAAATAGCCAAAATCGATACCCTATTTATGACCCTGAACCTATGTATATATTTTATAATCAACTTTATAATTTAGTTGGTGCGATGTCTTAATGATTTTACCAACTTAATAAATTTAGATGTAAATGTAGATGTAGATATCGCCCATTTAAGGTAGTACCCTCCCCCCGGACTCTTTGGATTCATCACACAATTTTCCTCTGTGTGACTAGTCCGCGTTCGGAGGCTAATCCAAAAAAGGCCTGGATGCTTGGAAAATTGTTTGTCATGTGACTGTCATGGCGTTATGAATCAGCGTAAAACTCAGCGCTACTAGCACTTTCAAGTCAACAGTCGGAGAGAAGAATAATTGGAAACAGAGAGGAAATCGGTTGCCTTCCGTCAAGTTCATTGTAGATGCTGCCACCATCAAACACTCTCCTAGTCAAAAGTGCAGATGACGTGACATTTCACTGTCAGTACGTTGCGAAGTTTACAGCTTGTACAGGCAGTAACTTGTTTTTCTCGTCCTCAAGATGAACGCAATTATTGCCTTGTGTCATTTCTGTGAATTCCACGGGCCTAGTGTCTTGTTTTGCACACAGGTAATTATTGAAAACGACTATGATGAATATTGTCCATATAAGTTAAGCTTAAATGCAAGCTTACATACGTTGTACCACATCACATCTTCTGTAAGCTTACATATTAGGTCCATACACAAGCTTACAAGTTTTAAAATGTCGGGCTGGAAACGAGTTTGGAATAATTTTTCTGTTATATCACAGCATTTGACCAGAGATCATTAACTTATCTCAACCTTCTGATCTAACCTTTTATAATTTCACTGTATTTTGATAATTTCGAGCACTTTTGGGTGAAATCTGTACCCTGCTAAGGTGAACAATTCTTGGCCAAATTGTAGAATACCTGACCACTTATTTACATCTCATTGAAAAAGAATAGCAGCTGTTGTCATATACCTTGTTCTTCAAAGCACACTGATACATGTAAATGAAATGGCTGGGTACTCTGCAATGTAGACCTTTTTCGCTTGGGCAGTTTGTTTTCCTAATACAGACCACGTGATATTCTCTAGAGAATTGTTCTTTTATCCACCTAAAAGATATTCATTCATATACACGCGACTATTTGGAAATTTGAAAGAAAGAATTCTCAAGAATATCATCGCATGGTCTGAAATGGGGCAACAAACCACCCAGTCGAAAAAAAGTCTATTGCTCCCATTTCCTTGAACATCATACGATGTTGGTAGCACCTACATGTACACCGTCCTAATGCTAACAAAATGTGCTCATCAGAGGTTGTGATTATAAAGAACATTAGACAAGTAATAGCAAGCATTTTTCCACTTCTCATGTCTTTGTACTCATCTTTCTCTACCTTCAGGCTTTCCACTGTGAAGCCCATGATCCTCTCAAAGGAACTTGCACTTCTGTTTTGGAGTGCGGAGCGTGTATCAAACGGTATGATGTACTCATACAGTATGCACTAGAAATATGTTTGAATCTCATTAGCAGCTTTATTGTCAAGTTGTATATCCAACAAGTGTACTTGTAATTGGCTGAAAACTGTATTGTAATAAACTGGTCATTATATGCCATTATGGTACACTCAAAAACATTAGAACTTGCCTCTGTTTGGATAAAGTGTAATGTATCCACCTTTGCTGTATTTCTGTGAAAAACCCAAGAATTTCATAGTAATAATTATTTCTGATAGTGGGTCAATACTGTGTCTACATGCAAGAAATAACAGAACCTAAAAGGTTGCTATTTTTTTTTTTTTTTCTGTCTGTTCTTATTCTCAACAAGTAGTGCAGTTCTTTGAAAATGACTCCAGTTGACTGTTGTATATGGAACCATTCACATCTCTCATCTGCCTTCTTGAATTCATATAAATTTTCAATGTGCATCATAGTGAAGTATAATTGTGTAATACTGTCTTAATCTGTGATGGATACCAGGTGGTGGTGGCCGACAACTGGCTGATGCACTGTCATATAGGTACAAACATATGCGATATTGGCTTTTCATACCAGGCAATCAGTTTGCCTGTTTGATTTCACATGACATCCACTGACAAGAAAAAGTATGAAAGTTCACTCTTTACAATTAAATATATTCTAACATAAGAGTAAACAATGTTCCTTAATTATCAGGTAACCTAATGTGTCACTGTAATAATTTTATTTCATAGGAATTTTACCCGCTTTGGATCAGAAACCCCAGGTTCTGAAAGTGCACAGGAATCAAGACAATCATGGGCGTCAACTAGACCAAGCCAATGTGAGGTCAGCACAAATGAATCTAAAGGTGTACAGTACCCTTCTTAATATTACTTATAACACAAGTTTGAATGTCAGTTTTTGCGTTATTGTGGTCTGATAATTTCTATGTTGTCAACCAGGCATTTGCTGTCATACCACCAAATTCTCAGAAATGATTTTAAAAGAACTGTATGGCTGTCAAGAATAAACATCATGAACTTGAGATTGAGACAATTAATGTGAAAGATTGCAACTGTAAAATAGTAAATGTATGTACATGCAAGCAACTTGTACTTGTAGCTGACACAATTTACCCTGCACTTCCCTCCCACTAAATAAACAATCATGTAGACAGATAGATTTTTATTGGCCTTGGGTTGACTAATGGACTGACAGACAGATGAACAGAGGGACTGACACACTGACAGGCCAGTTGATGCACTGATGGATGGACTGACTGACTGACTGACTAACTGACTGATGGACAGACAGACTGATGGACGGATGGAAGGAGAGACAGATGGACAGACAGACTGACTGACTGCTAGCAGGATAGACAGACTGATGGACTAACAGACAGACAGGCTGATTTGTCTTTTTATGATGATGTGTATTGCTTTATTCATGAAATGTATTGCTGGCTTTGTAGTTTCAAAGTTCAGTACTCTGAGTGACCATTTTCTTTTTTTAGGCTTGCAAGTCTTTAGACCACAATCATGCAGGATATATCAGTATTGATCATGAGGCTCACATCAGTTACTATAGCAACAGGTCACCAGAACAGCCAGAGCTGTACAGTGTTGTAAGGCAAGCATGTGTTAGAAGGTAAGAGATCACAAGTTTTGTATTGCCACATCAACTGATTACTATAGACTGTGTGTAGAGTTTGCAATAATTATATGCTTAGAAACCGTGTTCAGTAACACCACTGTAATAAATTCATCAGCTCAAAATTGTGTGTTATTTTAGCACTGATGCAGTTGAAAGGTCCATGCATGTTCATTTCAAGACTACTGCCTCTTCATCAATAGGAATAGCTGTTAGACAGAACACAAGTGATTTTATTCAAATTATTAATGTGCTGGTTAAACATTGAAGCTTGAAGTCAATGTCAGTGCTGTACATTGGAGAGTTTGGCATTTGACAATTCTACAGCATTTTGCATCATCAATGAAGCTTCCACCACAGGCACAAGCTTGCCATCTGTTGTGTGACCAGGGGAAGAGAAGTGTTTTGCCACTGGCAAGTCCACTTTCTTTTGGGACAGATTTCGAATGTTCACAGAACCTGTTGACAAACCTGCATCTGGTTACACCAATGTGCAACAGAGTAGTACATGCTGCACAAGTACAATTTGTCGTAATGTAAATGAGGGTACTAGTCGCTCAGGGGTGTTGATCTGGAAGGTTGGCTTGGGCACACATTTTGCCTTGGTCAGCCTCATTGTTCATCCTGCACAAATTTTCTGCAAATTTACTTCTGCTTGCATGCATGTGCATGTGCATTGATATGCATGCCTTACAGTACAAAACAAATACTGAGGCCAAAACTTGTTTGTAACTTGATTATTATAGCACAGAGAAACACTCCACTTGCTCTTTAAAAATATTAACTTTTACTATTTGTTATCGACATAGTTTGAGTTGTGAGGTGTGTCCAGGTCGTGAAGGTCCAATGTTCTTTGGGGAGGAGTCATCAGGTTATGTGTTCACTCACACCTTCTTCCTTAAGGACACTCAATCTAGAGGATTCCAGAGATGGTGAGTTCAGCATAAGTGTAAAATACAGCTACATTTGTATGCATGTTCATACCTGTAGGTAGAGTATAATTATTTTGCTCAATGTGTTACACCATGATCTACACATGACATGTAGCATGCTGTCTTTGATATATGCACATGTACTGTAACATTTACAAAGTTTACAGTGTACATGGTCCCTTTATGCCAAATGTTTGCCTTAATGGGCGTTTAAGGTTGGGCTATGTACATCACCTGTGAAAAATTTTGGACATTGATATTTCAGCCCATTTATTTTTGGGCACTTTTTATTCTATTTTGGACAAATTTTCGACAAAAATTTCAAGTACTTTGCTGAAACATAGCTAAAGTAAATTTACTCCTACAAAACACAAGATAACATCTGTGAAAATAATAGTTCTACTGCACCCTGAGGCTTTTTACAGACACACCACCTAGAAAATAACACAAATTCTATCAAGCTCTGTTTCAAGTAGTGCCAATTTAAAGCCATCAAGTGGTGTTTCTACTAGACTTCTCTCCATATAGGAAAACTAAACAATTTGGAGCTCAAAATCGCTTAATCACCTGCAAAATGATCTGATTTTGATTTTGGATCTTTAACATCTAATTAGCCTCATGAAAAATGCCAAAGCTTGAGGGCAAGGGCATTTATTTGGGATCATCAGTGAAGACAGAAAACATGTACTGTGTTTCTATCAAGGTATTAGAAACATGAGTGGAAGTTTGGGAGAAAGAGAAATGCTGTGGGAAGACGAGCAGCAGGTGAGTGTTTCCACAGCTTTTTCGAGTTCTCCCAAACTTTGACGAGTGTTTCTATAATGATAGAAACACTGAGAACACGTTTTCTATTTCTTTTAGAAAACACCGTGATGAAAAAGGAAAACAACTTGTTACTCGGGCTTTCCGAGGTATAAATTCGGCTCCATTTTCGCGCCATCATTACATATAACTGGAATATTTTGCCTAATTGCCATCTGCAGAGTTCTTATAACCCTATGGAATAATTCAATAATACCTTGCACAATGGCCATGGTGATTCCTATGAAGAAAAACATCATTCCTTGCTGCATGCTAAAAAAATAAATACATTCATGAATACCATATTACAAAGCTTGCAGACATGCCATGTGGCCTCTACAAGGCACAGTCATGACCAATGTAAAACAAAGTTCCACTGTGTAATTTTCAGTAAATACTTCACTTACTTTTGGTACAGACATACCTTGAATACTTGAAGTTCTTGTGCGTCAAAAATGTTAGTGTAAACTCAAGTCCAGAGAAGAAAAATAGAAATAGAAAATACACCAAGCCAAGGCCACGAACTGTATTTAGATCTAGAAAATACAACAAATCACAGCCACCTCATTCAAGATATCAAGATTGCTAATTATTGGAGTTGATCAGGCTTACAGGCCAGGTTATGCAGCACCATCATGAAACTGAGCTTTGAGTGGTGCATTCTAATTCTCCATAATTTGTTCTATTGTTCTGGCACAAAGTTGTTCTTTCTGTAATCAGCTGTTTTACTGTTCTCCTGTTGCGTGGCTTTTGACTGCAGGCATATCCATCCTTCAAGAATTAAAATTTTACTATCCCATTGATGTTATCGGGATGAAGTCTTATATGCAGATTGCTTCCAGCCTTTTTATCCTAGGTGAGTACCAGTGAGAGTCTCGCTCTCTAAAGTTCTCACCAATATACCAAAACTTAAAAATTAATAATAGAGAGTTAATGAATCTCATCCAAACTCAAAACTACTATTTGTCATTACATTCGTACACTTACCTTCTTTACTGGATCTGATCTCCACTGCATCAAACTTGAGGAGCGACACAGGGTTGAGAAGCTGGCTGGCATTTCTAAATTCAGATAGTAGAGACTTTGCCTTTTTTAAAAGAAAAAAATTATGTATATATTAGAAAAAAAATTGGTACGATTAACTGACTGTGTATAGCTACATACATGTAAGTGAGCAATTCAACAAATGAATACAAAATCAGGACAATAATTTACTATGCATATTATTAGGACTTTAATTTTCAGTTTTAATGTACACAGCTTATTGGTCAAACATGACGATAATAATTACATGTACATGTAGAGTGCTAGGATTGAAATTTATGTATAAGCTGGCTACACTGAAGGTTGTATGGGAGAATCACTGATAACACGATCATGTTAAATACAGAAAATACAGGAGTCTTCATTTTCGGGTCTTCGTTTTCAGGTCTTTGTTTTTGGGTCTTAGGTCTTCAGCAAATTGAAGTTTTAATGTCTGGCTATACTCAGTGTTATGACCATCTCATTAACCACACGTGGTTGGCCAGTATGGGAGAATCTCTCCTTGTTTGTGTGCATTTGCTGAGTACTCAAGATCTCGGTCAAGACGCTCCTGTACATACCTCCCACTTAGTTAATAAGAACCACATATAAATACATTATATCTACAGTACAATGTAAGGTGTACGTCAAGTTTCATCTCAGTCAGTTAAAATCTCAACTTATAAGCATTTACACTGTATTTCAAGTATTACCCTTTTTTCTTTTGGCAATGTCTCCTTAAGACATGTATACACAAACAAGATGTCTGCTACAGTCAAAATAATTGCAAACAAGGCTGGTAAGAGGTAAGGGTTTCCACTCTCAAGTGATGACCTCTTGGCAAATACAGCACCAATCACAGGCCCAATAATAAAGCCAAAGGAATATGCAATACCAACAAGAGCCTGTTGACAGAGACCAAAGAACACACAGCATAATTATGTTGAACTTCATAAAAATCATCTAGGTAGTTCAATTAAATTAAAGTTAATTAATTCGACTGTTAATACATGTAAATTAAAGATTAAAAAACTCTGACCCCATACCCATAATTTATGTATAATTTATGACTGAGAATTTGTATTTTCAATGAAGCCTAGAATGCATGAGTGCTTGTCATAACTTCCTGTGTGTATTTCAAACAGGTCTCAAGCCAACGACTGTGGAATGTTTTGTTTTAAAGAATCCTAGTCAGCCTCCGCCATTTTTGATGCCATCGAAATTATTGATATTGCAGGGTGAAGCAAAAACTTATTGCTTTACTATAAGTTGTGTTCCTGAAAGTACATGTATGTTTAATTACATGTATCTTTAGTAGTTTCACAGTGATTTCCTTTGTTTGGACATGCTTTGAATAAAATATAATATAGCCAAACTCTTCGATGTTAGAAACAAAAAAAAGGTGTGGCTGACTAGGGCCCTTTAATTAGCAGTTCAAACCCTAATGTATGGCCATTCAAATGCTAGTCTTTTGATTTGAAAGGTGTTTTTGTTACCATTCCTTTCCCCCTGTTCTTTGTGGAAGTAACATCAGCAATGATAGCTGTAGAGATGGTGACATTGCCTTTAGATAATCCACCAATGATTCTGGCAATGACAAAGATGGTAAAGTTCCACGAGTATGCCCAGACAGCATAAGAAGCCAGCACTCCCATCTGAAATATGGACAGGTCAGTTCAAATAAAAACCTACAACCTGTGCCTGATGAAAGTGGTTTTTTTTTAAGACAGCCTTTTTTAAAAAGTGTATTTTCTTGAGATCTTTTGTGGAAGGGATTTCAACAATAGTAAAGCTGTTTCATAAAATTGGTTCACAAAATCTTAATGTATAGAAAAAAAAAACGTGCATTATGTGTCATGTACTTTGCAAAGAAAAATGAACATACCATTGCATTGTTTATGAATGCTAAGTTTTTGTCTTTAAACTCTTTGTACTATAAATCTTTATCTGAATTGATGCATGATGTTAGCACTGCTTCAGAACCAATTAACCAATTAACATAATATATATTTTTGTAATTTATTGACAAAA